GATAGAAGGTGGAGGACAAGACACTGTACTGTACTATGGGTGAGGTGAAGTGAAAGGCGGTGAGGTGAGGGAGGTGAGGGGAGGTAAGGGGAGGGGAAGGGAGGGAAGGGGAGGAGAGGAGAGGAGAGGGGAGGTGACGGGAGCTGAGAATTGGGACAACTGATCATGCCTTCACCAGATGCACCGGCACACATGTACAATGGTGGGTCACCTTGAGCCATACATGAATGATGGACCTCCATTTGGCTGTCAGCTCTTACCTGACTACATTTGAGTCTTACCTACCATAACCGTTCCCTTCAGCACCATCCCCTCAACCAGAGCAACCCCACAAAACCCACACAATTGCCTTCAAGAGTAACGCAACGTGAAAGAGTGAGTGTGAGCAGTGCCGCACAAAGCACACTGATCTGCAGCTTGTTCAATCTCACCTGCTGGACCACCAGCAGCGTCCCCTTCACCACCATGCCTCCCAAAAACCCTCTCATCTGCCACACAGCTGGTCGCACCCCTTCATACCCCGCCTCCCCCGCTCCCTCGCCCCGAACCCCCCCTCCAGCATTTCTACCGGCTCCTCCCCCAATTTCCCCCCCTCCTCCTCTTCCTTCTCCCCCTCCTCCTACTCCTCCCCCCCCTCCTCCTACTGCTCCTGCTCCTGCTCCCCATCCCCCACCCCCAACCCCTTGCACCAGTCCCCTCTCTTGCTCTATCTGTGTCACAACCAGGCTAGCACTGTCCCAGAGCAACCCATCACTTTCCTCCCCTCCGCCTGACGCCCCAATTCCTTGATACACACCCCCCTCTGCGCCCGCTTCAGCATCCCCACCCGCTTCTGCACCCCCCATTGCCGCATCGCCAGCAGCAGCAGCACCTCCCCCCAGCAGCCCGCGTTCCTGTTCGAACTGAGTCACAGCCACGTTCACGGCATCCCAGTCAACCTCGTCCTCATCCCACTCCACCCCATCCTCCTCCTCGTCCTCTTCGTCTGGCTCTTCCAGCTCAAGTGCTGCTGCTGCCGCCACTTCTGCCGCCGCCGCCTCCGCTGCTCCTCCTCCTGCTCCTCCTGCTGCTCCCCCTGCTCCTCCTGCTACTGCTCCTGCTGCTGCTGTGCCTGATGCTGTTGCTGCTTGAGCCTCATCATCCGATTCTGGCTCCTCCAGCTCAAGTGCTGCTGCTGCCCTCACTGCTGCTGCTGCTGCCACTGCTGCCCTCGTTTCATCCTCCCACTCTGGATCCTCCAATTCTTGTGCCGCTGCTGCCCTCACCGCTGCTGCTCTGGCCTGCTCCTGAGCTCTCTGCTGCTGCTGCTGCAGGTTAGCTTGCGATCGCTGCTGTGTCTGCCCCAACACCTGCTGCTGTTGCGTTTGGTTGGATCCAAGCTGCTTCTGCGCGTGCAACGAGAGCCGAGAGAGACAGAACAGAGAGGAGAGGAAGGGCGGGGGCAAGCAGATGCATGCACGTGAGAAGAGTGAGGGCGGGTGATTCACCCAGCCAGCGACCGATGCTCCGATCAGAGTCTTAGAGAGTCTTAGTTTGATTGAAAGGACTCTAGCTGGATGGACTCTGAACTTGGGTTAGTCAAAGTGCTTGGCTGTGGAAGTGCGAGATTGCAGATGTATATGGTTTTCGATAGAAGAGAACAGAATTGAAGAGTAATTGCCCATCCCCCCTTACCAAGGATCCGGGTTTAGAGTAACCCCTAAACCTAAACCCTGAATCCTGAACCCTCTCTTTCCTCCTTCTCACCAACACCCACTCGACCCTCCTTCCATCCTCCCTCTCTGCATTCCACCCTCCCCCCCTCCACACTACCCCTCTCTAATCCACCTCATCGCACCTTCTTCCACCTGCAAAGGTACCTGGTCGGCCCAGAGCTCCTCTCTCCGGGAGATGTGCTTTGGTGGAGAGAGAGAGGGCTCCCAGTATCATGTCATTCCGGTTTTTTTTAGGCGCCTAGAGAATCCTCCACTCCCCCCTCACCTCATCGCACCTTCTTCCACCTGCAAAGGTACCTGGTCGGCCCAGAGCTCCTCTCCCCGGGAGATGTGCTTTGGCGGGACGAGGGCAGCCAGTATCATGCCATTGCCGTCCGTGGACTTGGTGCCGTCCTGATGAGGGGATAGTATGGGGGGAGGGAGGAGGGAGTTAGAGAGAGCGGGAGGGAGGGACGGAAGGAGGGAGGGAGGTTTGAAGGAAAAGGGGGGGTTGGAGGGAGCGGGAGATGGAGAGAGAACAGGGAACAATCAGGCTGAGAACAGCATGCAACAGGTGACATGGGATGGGACAAGTCACATTCTGTGTGATGAGATGATTAGACATACATGTGTGGCAACCTGCCAACCAAGTGAGAGGTCCCACATCTCACATGCTCCCGCTTGCCACGATGGTGCTTCAAGCCGAAGCATGCATGCCCATGCCCCTCCCAGCCCAACCCAACCCAGCCCAACACAAGCTGAGACTGCACTCATCAACCAGACTCTCATGTGCAATCACACATGTGCCATCATGCATGTGCCATCACGCATGTCCCGTCACGCATGTGCAATCGTGCATGTGTAATCGTGCATGTGCCCGCATGCCTTTCAGCTGAAACGCCTTTTTGTGCTGTAGAGTCAACCGCATGTGTTTCTGCACTGCACTGCACTGCACTGCACCGCACTGCACTGCACCGCACTGCACTGCACGCACCTCACATGTTTCGTCGTCAGCGATTTGAAGCACAGCAGGAGAGATGGTAGAGGCGTTGAGCATTGGGTAGGTGCGCGAGAAGATGAGACCTATTCTGTGCGAGGATAGAGGAGTGCAAGGGAATCGCGAGAAGCAGAGGGGAAGCAGACGGGAAGTGGGGGAAAGGAGCGGGGGATGCGGGGGAACGCAGGAGGTAAGGAAGGAGGAGAAAGGTTAACAGCTATTTGGGAGCTGAAAAGAGAAAAGGGTCATCGTCGCTGCAAGGTTCTTGCAAATCATTGCCAGGTTGTGCAAGCCCAGCAGCAAATGCCTAGACACATACACTCGTTCCCTTCTCTCCCTTCCTTTCTTGCCCACACCGACCTTGCAAGAGCCGACAGTATTATCACATCAAATGCGCCTTGTGAAACGCCCAGGCATGTTCAAGACACAGAGGCGGGAAAACAATCACATTGAATTAGACTCGATCTCTCACCGGGCGGCCAGCTTCGGCACATTTGGGCAGCTGTCAAAGTTTCCAAACACTGCCCGTGCATCCCACGCAGAGGCAAATGGGTGGAAAATGTGTGGCTGCTGCAGGTCCCATGAAGCAGCAGAGTCGAGGGCAAGGAAGAACGCCTTGGGATGGAAGTGTGCTGTCTTGGGCGCTCGGTCTGTCTTGTGTGCTGTTGGTGGGGTGCGGGGGGGGGAACAAGTAGCAAGTGATCACTTTTGAGAGTTCTCAAAAGTGCCGCTAACGTGGCTGTTGGTGTGGAGAGCAAGTGGGCGGAAGTGGTCAAGTGGACATGAAGCATACATAGGACATGAAGCATACATAGGACATGAAGCATACATAGGACATGAAGCATGCATAGGACATGAAGCATACATAGGACATGAAGCATGCATAGGACATGAAGCATACATAGGACATGAAGCATACATAGGACATGAAGCATACATAGGACATGAAGCATGCATAGGACATGAAGCATACATAGGACATGAAGCATACATAGGACATGAAGCATGCATAGGACATGAAGCATACATAGGACATGAAGCATGCATAGGACATGAAGCATACATAGGACATGAAGCATGCATAGGACATGAAGCATGCATAGGACATGAAGCATGCATAGGACATGAAGCATGCATAGGACATGAAGCATACATAGGACATGAAGCATACATAGGACATGAAGCATACATAGGACATGAAGCATACATAGGACATGAAGCATACATAGGACATGAAGCATGCATAGGACATGAAGCATGCATAGGACATGAAGCATGCATAGGACATGAAGCATACATAGGACATGAAGCATACATAGGACATGAAGCATACATAGGACATGAAGCATGCATAGGACATGAAGCATACATAGGACATGAAGCATGCATAGGACATGAAGCATACATAGGACATGAAGCATACATAGGACATGAAGCATGCATAGGACATGAAGCATACATAGGACATGAAGCATGCATAGGACATGAAGCATACATAGGACATGAAGCATACATAGGACATGAAGCATACATAGGACATGAAGCATACATAGGACATGAAGCATACATAGGACATGAAGCATGCATAGGACATGAAGCATGCATAGGACATGAAGCATGCATAGGACATGAAGCATGCATAGGACATGAAGCATACATAGGACATGAAGCATACATAGGACATGAAGCATGCATAGGACATGAAGCATGCATAGGACATGAAGCATACATAGGACATGAAGCATGCATAGGACATGAAGCATACATAGGACATGAAGCATACATAGGACATGAAGCATACATAGGACATGAAGCATACATAGGACATGAAGCATGCATAGGACATGAAGCATACATAGGACATGAAGCATGCATAGGACATGAAGCATACATAGGACATGAAGCATGCATAGGACATGAAGCATGCATAGGACATGAAGCATACATAGGACATGAAGCATACATAGGACATGAAGCATACATAGGACATGAAGCATGCATAGGACATGAAGCATGCATAGGACATGAAGCATACATAGGACATGAAGCATACATAGGACATGAAGCATACATAGGACATGAAGCATGCATAGGACATGAAGCATACATAGGACATGAAGCATACATAGGACATGAAGCATACATAGGACATGAAGCATACATAGGACATGAAGCATACATAGGACATGAAGCATACATAGGACATGAAGCATACATAGGACATGAAGCATGCATAGGACATGAAGCATACATAGGACATGAAGCATACATAGGACATGAAGCATACATAGGACATGAAGCATACATAGGACATGAAGCATACATAGGACATGAAGCATGCATAGGACATGAAGCATACATAGGACATGAAGCATCATAGGACATGAAGCATACATAGGACATGAAGCATACATAGGACATGAAGCATACATAGGACATGAAGCATACATAGGACATGAAGCATACATAGGACATGAAGCATGCATAGGACATGAAGCATACATAGGACATGAAGCATGCATAGGACATGAAGCATACATAGGACATGAAGCATACATAGGACATGAAGCATGCATAGGACATGAAGCATACATAGGACATGAAGCATACATAGGACATGAAGCATACATAGGACATGAAGCATGCATAGGACATGAAGCATACATAGGACATGAAGCATGCATAGGACATGAAGCATACATAGGACATGAAGCATACATAGGACATGAAGCATGCATAGGACATGAAGCATACATAGGACATGAAGCATGCATAGGACATGAAGCATGCATAGGACATGAAGCATACATAGGACATGAAGCATGCATAGGACATGAAGCATACATAGGACATGAAGCATACATAGGACATGAAGCATACATAGGACATGAAGCATGCATAGGACATGAAGCATACATAGGACATGAAGCATACATAGGACATGAAGCATACATAGGACATGAAGCATGCATAGGACATGAAGCATACATAGGACATGAAGCATACATAGGACATGAAGCATACATAGGACATGAAGCATGCATAGGACATGAAGCATACATAGGACATGAAGCATACATAGGACATGAAGCATACATAGGACATGAAGCATACATAGGACATGAAGCATGCATAGGACATGAAGCATACATAGGACATGAAGCATACATAGGACATGAAGCATACATAGGACATGAAGCATGCATAGGACATGAAGCATACATAGGACATGAAGCATACATAGGACATGAAGCATACATAGGACATGAAGCATACATAGGACATGAAGCATACATAGGACATGAAGCATGCATAGGACATGAAGCATACATAGGACATGAAGCATGCATAGGACATGAAGGACATGAAGCATACATAGGACATGAAGCATACATAGGACATGAAGCATGCATAGGACATGAAGCATGCATAGGACATGAAGCATGCATAGGACATGAAGCATACATAGGACATGAAGCATACATAGGACATGAAGCATGCATAGGACATGAAGCATGCATAGGACATGAAGCATGCATAGGACATGAAGCATACATAGGACATGAAGCATACATAGGACATGAAGCATACATAGGACATGAAGCATACATAGGACATGAAGCATGCATAGGACATGAAGCATGCATAGGACATGAAGCATGCATAGGACATGAAGCATGCATAGGACATGAAGCATACATAGGACATGAAGCATACATAGGACATGAAGCATACATAGGACATGAAGCATGCATAGGACATGAAGCATGCATAGGACATGAAGCATGCATAGGACATGAAGCATACATAGGACATGAAGCATGCATAGGACATGAAGCATACATAGGACATGAAGCATGCATAGGACATGAAGCATGCATAGGACATGAAGCATGCATAGGACATGAAGCATACATAGGACATGAAGCATACATAGGACATGAAGCATACATAGGACATGAAGCATGCATAGGACATGAAGCATGCATAGGACATGAAGCATGCATAGGACATGAAGCATACATAGGACATGAAGCATACATAGGACATGAAGCATACATAGGACATGAAGCATACATAGGACATGAAGCATGCATAGGACATGAAGCATACATAGGACATGAAGCATACATAGGACATGAAGCATACATAGGACATGAAGCATACATAGGACATGAAGCATGCATAGGACATGAAGCATGCATAGGACATGAAGCATGCATAGGACATGAAGCATACATAGGACATGAAGCATACATAGGACATGAAGCATACATAGGACATGAAGCATGCATAGGACATGAAGCATACATAGGACATGAAGCATACATAGGACATGAAGCATACATAGGACATGAAGCATACATAGGACATGAAGCATGCATAGGACATGAAGCATGCATAGGACATGAAGCATACATAGGACATGAAGCATACATAGGACATGAAGCATGCATAGGACATGAAGCATGCATAGGACATGAAGCATGCATAGGACATGAAGCATGCATAGGACATGAAGCATACATAGGACATGAAGCATACATAGGACATGAAGCATACATAGGACATGAAGCATGCATAGGACATGAAGCATGCATAGGACATGAAGCATGCATAGGACATGAAGCATACATAGGACATGAAGCATACATAGGACATGAAGCATACATAGGACATGAAGCATACATAGGACATGAAGCATGCATAGGACATGAAGCATACATAGGACATGAAGCATACATAGGACATGAAGCATACATAGGACATGAAGCATGCATAGGACATGAAGCATGCATAGGACATGAAGCATGCATAGGACATGAAGCATGCATAGGACATGAAGCATACATAGGACATGAAGCATACATAGGACATGAAGCATGCATAGGACATGAAGCATGCATAGGACATGAAGCATACATAGGACATGAAGCATACATAGGACATGAAGCATGCATAGGACATGAAGCATACATAGGACATGAAGCATACATAGGACATGAAGCATACATAGGACATGAAGCATGCATAGGACATGAAGCATACATAGGACATGAAGCATACATAGGACATGAAGCATGCATAGGACATGAAGCATGCATAGGACATGAAGCATGCATAGGACATGAAGCATGCATAGGACATGAAGCATGCATAGGACATGAAGCATGCATAGGACATGAAGCATACATAGGACATGAAGCATACATAGGACATGAAGCATACATAGGACATGAAGCATGCATAGGACATGAAGCATGCATAGGACATGAAGCATGCATAGGACATGAAGCATGCATAGGACATGAAGCATGCATAGGACATGAAGCATACATAGGACATGAAGCATACATAGGACATGAAGCATACATAGGACATGAAGCATACATAGGACATGAAGCATACATAGGACATGAAGCATGCATAGGACATGAAGCATGCATAGGACATGAAGCATGCATAGGACATGAAGCATGCATAGGACATGAAGCATACATAGGACATGAAGCATACATAGGACATGAAGCATACATAGGACATGAAGCATGCATAGGACATGAAGCATACATAGGACATGAAGCATACATAGGACATGAAGCATACATAGGACATGAAGCATGCATAGGACATGAAGCATGCATAGGACATGAAGCATGCA